TTCGTGGGATACCCAAAGGAAACTCGAGGGTATTCATTCTATCACCCTATCGATAAGAAGGTATTCGTTGCTCGCAATGGTGTCTTCCTCGAGAAGGAATTTCTCTCCATCGCAACTAGTGGGAGAAAGATAGAGCTCGAAGAAATTCGAGACGACGAAGAAACTACCGCGCCGGTTCTGGAACATGAGCTAGAGGAACAAACCGTTGTACCTCAAAATGCTCAAGATACACAAGAACCTCGTAGATCTAACCGGTTACGCACACAACCTGAAAGGTATGGATTCCTCCTAACCTTTGAGGGTGACGTAATGCTTATCGACCGGGATGAGCCGGAGACCTACCTCGAGGCAATCAGTTGTCCCGAGGCTGAGGAATGGCGTCAAGCCATGCAGTCCGAAATGGATTCCATGTACACCAACCAAGTATGGACTTTGGTTGATGCACCCGAAGGGATCAAACCCATTGGGTGCAAATGGGTCTTCAAAAAGAAGACTAACATGGACGGTAAGGTGCAAACCTTCAAGGCACGATTGGTAGCAAAAGGATATCGTCAAATACATGGTATCGACTATGACGAAACTTTTTCTCCAGTTGTCATGATTAAATCCATTCGGATCTTACTTGCTATCGCAGCATACCATGATTACGAAATCTGGCAGATGGACGTCAAAACGGATTTCCTTAATGGAAACCTCCTTGAGGATGTTTTTATGACACAACCTGAAGGGTTTTGCGCTTCTGAAGAATCTACCAAGGTATGCAAGTTGCAGCGATCAATCTACGGATTGAAGCAAGCCTCACGGAGTTGGAACATCTGCTTTCACGAAACTGTCATCGGTTTTGGTTTTGAAAGAAATTCGGATGAATCTTGTGTATACAAGAAGGTCAGTGGGAGTGCTTTAGTCTTCCTTGCTCTGTATGTTGATGAAATACTGCTCATAGGAAACAATATTCCTACTTTAACCGCCGTCAAAACGTGGTTGAGTAAGAGTTTCTCTATGAAGGACTTGGGAGATGCCAGTTATGCACTTGGCATAAGGATCTATAGGGATAGATCACGGAAGCTGTTAGGTCTCAGTCAAAGTACATACATAGACAAGGTCCTCGCTAGATTCAGCATGTCTGAGTCGAAACGAGGAAGTTTGCCTATGGTCCAAGGCACGAG